ATGCGCACAGGTTGAAGCAGTGACGAGGCCGATGGCTCCCTGTATATCCTCAGCCTGATCTTGCCCATGAACTCCACACACATAGATCCATATCCATCTGCAACAGGAAAAGGCATGTCTCCAAAATCAAGCTCCTGACTGTCCACCTTCACTGCCTCTTCCATAGTGTCTACCTCCTACCTTCACTGTCCCTTCTGCAGTGTCTACCTCCACAGTTAAATGGCCTCTCTGCATTGAAGGCTTTGGGACAATTGGTTTTCTCCCATCCGCACCAGCCCCATCTCTCACTTGGTTGATGCCATAGCATCCCAGTTGGGTTCTACACTACAGCCCCACACAGCTGCCAGAATGATCCTGTGAACTGCTGGTGTGCTCCTTCCTCTGTCCCAGGCCCAGGTGGCTCAAAGCAAAAGCCAGACTCCATATAGGGCCTCTGAAGACTTATTGGGATAACCCCCTGCTAATGTCTCCTACCACCTCTCTTTGACCCTATTCACCCTTTGCCTGTCACTCACAGGCCTGCCTCAGGGCCTTTGCATTTACCACCAGGCCTCATTCAGGCCTCTTTTCAGACATCACCTCCTCTGAGAAGCCCTCCCTGACAATTCTGCTCCCATCTGGTCCTTCTCTATCCCCTTTACCCGGCTTGTTCTCTCCAGCATGTCCCTGTCTCCCTTTATCGTCTCTGCCAGAAGGGCAGGGACCCGTGTGTGTGTTCCCTGTTGATCCAAGCATGCAGTACAAGCTCCATGAATGAATGAAAGGTTGAATGTGGCCAGAGTGGGGGCTTGTGGGGTGGACAGACCAATGCTAAGAGTTGCTGGACTGCAGCGGAGGCAGAGCCTGGAAAGGGGATCAGATGGGCTACGTGAGGTTGGGGGTGCAGGAGGGTTGTGGTCAGGGCCATGTTGTGGGCTTCCCAAGAGCTGCTCGCACAAGCCTGTGCCCCCTCCCCGTCCTCCTCCCCACCTCCTCAGGCCAGCTCTGGGGTCTCGGCAGGTGGTCCGCAACATGAGCTCCGAGTTCTTTGCTGCTCAGCTCCGGGCCCGGATCTCTGACAGCACCACTCACCCGACCTCCTACTATGAGCCTGAGTTCTACACGCCTGATGACGGTGGCACGGCCCACCTGTCCGTGGTTGCAGAGGATGGCAGTGCTGTGTCCGCTACCAGCACCATCAACCTCTAGTAGGGCTGCTTGGTGGCCCTGGGCGGGCCAGGGGCTGCTTGTGTCTCCCAGGAGGGAGCTACATCAACCCCTTTCATGGTGGGGAAACTGAGGCCCCACCTTGGTAGAGCGCCTGCCCTCAGCCTCCCTGGGCTGGGTGGAGCTTTGGTGGGTGGGTGGGGGCTGGGTGGGGTAGGGGCTGGATCTGGCACAGTTGTCTGATTCGGCTGGTCTGCAGCTTTGGTTCCAAGGTACGCTCACAGGTCAGCGGGATCATATTCAATGATGAGATGGATGACTTCAGCTCCCCCAACATCACCAACCAGTTTGGGGTGCCCCCCTCCCCAGCCAACTTCATCAAACCAGGTGCGGGGTGGGGAGGGACTTGGGTCAAGAGAGGGCTGGTGCCCTAGACAGGAAGCTAACCAGCATCTCTGTCCCTGCCTGCCCATCTGGTGACCACAGGGAAGCAGCCCCTCTCGTCCATGTGCCCGGCGATCCTCGTGGGCCAGGATGGCCAGGTCCGCATGGTGGTGGGTGCCTCTGGGGGCACGCATATTACTACGGCCACCGCACTGGTACGTGTCATCTATCTGTTCCTTCCAGCCCCTGCCCCTGGGCCGTGCTGACCCCATCCCTTTGCCCTCCAGGCCATCATCCATAACCTGTGGTTTGGCTACGATGTAAAACGGGCAGTAGAGGAGCCCCGACTTCACAACCAGCTTCTGCCCAACACCACGACACTGGAGAGAGGCATTGACCAGGTGGGACAGGGCCAAGGAAACTGAGTCACGAGGGGGGGGGGCCACGGGGGTCCTAGGATGGAGGCCTGGATCTCCTGAGTCATCAAAGAGTAGACTACCAGCCTCTGCCTGGGGCAGATGAACTTCACCTCCACTGCCTGGGCCATCTTGAACCCCTGTGCAACCTGGGTCAGGCCACCTGCTCCAAGGAGACCCACTAGGCCCAGCTGCCCCCAACTTGTTCTTCCTGGCCCCTGGGCTGGAAACGGCACCGTCTGTGTGGTTCGGTGGGTCTGTGTGGTTCAGATGGCTTTGTAGGCCCTGCTGAGAACCCTCTATCCCCTCCCACCCCCAGGCGGTGACCGCAGCCCTGAAGACTCGGCACCACAACACTGAGGACACTTCCAGCTTCATCGGTGTGGTACAAGCCATTGTCCACACGGCCAGTGGCTGGGCAGCTGCCTCAGACCCCAGGAAAGGCGGGGAGCCTGCTGGCTACTGAGTGCTTGGGGTGGGCAAGGCTTCCTGGCAACCTAGGGATGAGGTGCCCACTAGGGCCAGAGTGGAACTTGGAGGGATTTGCTTCCCCTGTGAGTGACAAAGCAGTGCAATAAATGGGGGTTGCAGCGTGAGGCTCTGGGCAGCCTTGCTGGCCCAGCTCCCATATCGCTGGGCCTCAGCATCCTATGTGTGAATTGGAGCTGTACGGTGAGGAAGGGTGGAGAGGCGGGATTCAGAGGTCATAACCTCTCAGGTGCTGTAGGTAGGCTGAGAACGTACACGAGAGCCCGGCCGCTGGGTGAGTGGAAACAGGACCCACTCAGACCAATCACTGTCCTTCCTCACCTGAGCCCCAGGAGCAGGGGGCCAGGTCATCCATTTTCTGGCCTGGGCCGTGGCACTTCCTAGTATCAACCACCAGGGGGCGCTGCAGCTCAGGAGTTTACTTGGCCAGTGGGCCGCCAAGAGATGCTTGTAATCTGCTACCTCGTCTGCCTGGCCTGTGCCCCGGATTCACACCGTGGAGGATACATGGAGGTGAACCCGAGGTCTGAAGAGTGGGATTGGGCAAGAGGCTGGAGCAAAACGTCTCTGTCAGAGCCAGGCCCGGGGGGTTTTCCAAGCACAAACCCAGAATGAAAACCAAGCTGTGATCAGCTCCAGAAAGAGGCCCGGTTCTCAGGGATCAGTGAGCCAGGAAAGGTCCCCAGATCCCAAGGGTCAGGGCTTGGACCTGTGGGCAGCTGGAGAGTGCAGCCCAGAAAGAGGGGCCTGGAGGGGATCAGTGAGACACAGCGGCCTGCCTCCTCCCCCAGGCGCCAGCGCCTCCCGCCGTCCCTCAGGGGCTGTTAACTGGATGTGATATCTGACTGAGGAGCTGGGGGGGGGCAGGAGAGGGTGGGTCACAGCCTGATGGCCACCCATGCCCCTGACCAGGGAGCCTAAGCGGGGACCCCTGAGGGCAGGGGCAAAGGGGCCACCCCAAGTCTGGGCTCTCCCTCAGGAGGCCAGAAACCTTGGTGTTTCTAAAGTACCCATGAGGAAACGGAGTTTTGTGTCTGCAGAGTCTGGGCCCTGAGCCCGGGAGGATGATACATCTGGGGTCCCCTGGGGACGGGATGGAGGCTTGGCTGGTGGGAAGTGCAAGTCTCCTCAGCTTTCATTTTGGCCCTAGAGGAAAGGCCATGGCACCATTTGCAGGAGAGAAGACTGAGGCCTGAGGGGCTAGTCTCGCTCCGGGTGGAGGTTAACTCCTTGGGTTCCTGCATATGGGCTGAGCACACACAGTTCACCAGGCCCCGTGGAGCTCAGCTGAGGGCTCCACCAGGTGCAGGGGGACTTGGTTTCCTCTCTTTCCTTCCCATTGTCTCCTACACAAGGATATTCAGGGCCTTTCCCAGCTCAGCCTGTCCAGCCATACCTCTAGCCAGGCCTAGCATGACGCTCTTTCCTCTCCTGGGACTTTGCTCTTTCAGTCCCTGCCTCCTGGCCTCAGCCTGATCAGGATGGCTGTGGAGATGGGGGAATGTTCCATTCTTAGCACGCCAGACCCCTCTGTCTGCTGCCCCTGCCTTCCCAGAGGGTGGGCAGGCCCTGGGCCAGCAATGCACGTTGTTTCTGGGTTGAGCCATGTCACTGTGGTATGAGGGACAGTGGGGACAGAAGAAGGTGCCCACAGCCCTCCCCACCCGCCCCGGGCAGCTGTGGGAACAGGCCTGTTGGAGAGACTGCCTGGCTGACCAGTGGCTCGGGTGGGGGCCTGGCAGGCTGTGTGGCTGTGTGGGCGGTTCATCTGTTGTACTAGGAGGTGTCGAGAGGCCTGGGGTGGGCGATGCTCAGCTGGGGAGGAAGCCAGAGAATACAGGGAGGCAGTGGGGGCTGTGTGGGTGGGAGTCCAGCCTGGACCCTGCGCCCTGTGCTCCCACTGAGCCTGGTCAAGAAGGGCATCAATGGGTCCCCCTCCCCCAATTGCCTCCCCATTGGGTACCCCAAGGCCTAGGCAGGGGAGCATCCAGACCAGTGTTCCCAGGAGAGGAGGCCCAGCCTGCACAGATGGACACAGGGAAGCGGACACACAGCCAGGGAAGTGCAGAGACCCAGACAGGAGGGCAGCCTCACTCTCAGGAGGCCTATGGTGGCATTCTGACCGCATGCAGGCCCCAGGGGTGGGTGGCCTGGTGGGCAGTGGGCACCGAGGGCCAGATGTAGGCCCTGTTTACTTTCCTCACACAGAGGTCTTGTAGTCCTGGGTGTTTGATGTGGATCGGGAAGCTGAGCTCACTCCTGGTCACACCAGTTTCCTGGCTAGGCCATGGCTGAGCTGGGACTTGAACCCGGATCCTGAGTGACATTGCCTTGGGTCCCCCAATCCCTCTGTCTCTGGCCCTCTTCAGCCCCACGTCTGGGCCCCAGCATCCTCGGTGTCCTCTGGCTCTGGGGATGCTGAGGAAATCTTGCTGGGCGCAACCACACCAAGGAGGCGGGAGGTGGGGTGACCTTGCAGCCCCCTTGTCCCTCTGCAGCAGATCCAGGGGAGGGGACAAGGCAGGCCTGAGTCCTGCTGTCCTGGCTCCCTCGGGGGTGGGAGGCGCCAAGTCCCCAAGCACGTGGGGTGGAATAGCCCTGGGCAGGCTGTGGGAATGAGGGAGTTAACGGTGGTGGCTTGCTCCTCTCTGGGAGGAAAACTCCCCATAAACGCCCTGCTCCCTGGCCTTCTGCCAGGGCCAAGAACAGGGGCTGAAAACTGGAAGTTCAGGCATGCGGCCAGCTCTGCCTCTAGCAGGCGCTTGAGCAGGACAGCAGCCCCGTCGCCGCTGGCGGCTGGTCTGTATGCCCATCAGTCCGTCGGGGGGCCTCCAATCATCTGTAAGCCTGTCTGTCTGTCTGTCTACAATCCTGTCTCTGTCCAGTGTCTCTCTGACTGTCCTTCTCTTCCTAGCCTATGTTCAGCTGTCTAGCCTGTCAATCCACTGTCTGTCTCTGGTCTCCATCTGTTCATCTGTCCCATCACCAGCGAATCTGTCCATTCATCTACCCACCTGTGTGTCCATCCACCTGCCTTCTCTCTCCACTCCGGGCCTCAGAGCCATGGCCCAAGGCCGCAGGGTCACGGCCAGCATGGTCCTGCTGGGGTTGGGGCTGGCCCTGGCCATTATTGTGCCTGCCGTGCTCCTCTCTCGCCGCCACACCGGCTGTGGCCCCCAGGCCTTTAGCCGCGCTGCGGTCGCTGCTGACTCCAAGGTCTGCTCAGACATTGGACGGTGAGTAAGAGGTGGGTGGAAGCTGGGTGGTTCTCGGTGGCTGGCACCTCCTGGAGACTCTGTAACTGGTGGTGAGAGTGTGGAGAAGGTGTGTGTGTGTGTGTGTGTACGTGTGTGTGCACGTGCATGTGCACATAGTGGGGGCTGCACAGCGTCCAGCAAGGAAGCAGCCCCAGGACCCTTCCACAGAGCAAGAGGCAGGTGTGCGCATGAGACAGGAGGGGGTTTGGGGATATTGACAGATGTGGTATGTGAGTCTTTTCCTAGCTCCGGGGCTCAGGAGACCCGGAGAGGGCACCCCCACAGTGTCACCGGTCTGGCCCAGGCTGACCCTGATGACTGGTGCTGGGCCATTTAGAGAAGCCACAGCTGTTCTCCAAGGCTGGGTTTTTTTCCCAGAAGTGTGGGCAAGCCCTGGCCTGTCAGTGTGCACTCAGTGCTGCCCAGGGCCAGTTTCTCACCCGGGCCTAGGACCTGGGAAACCTGCCCTGGCCAGCACCATGTTCCCCACTGCCTCCCCTTCTGATGTCTGGGCCTGGGGCCCAGCCAGGGACTGCTGGATGTTTGTGGCCAGGGCAAGGTGGGTGTTAGAGAGGGGCCCCAGCTGGTGTTTTCCAACCCTTTTCCAGGAAGCCCAGCCCATGGAAGGCTTCCGCTGCCCACCGGGGCAGAATATAGCAGGACACCCCTCCTGGCTCTTGGCCCCCAGCCCAGGCTAGTGAAAAGCCCAAGCAGTCATCCCCCTCCCTGCTGGCTGGGTCTGTTTTCTGGAATAACTGCCTCATGGATCATTGTCAGGATCAGAAGTGCTTTGTAAGCCGAGGGGACAGTCCTGGAGCAAGGGGGAGTGTGGCCAAGTCCTTGCCCAGGTGGCATTCCGTACCATCTTTGTTTTGGTTTCCCCGTTCCTGCAAGCTTTAACCTTCTGTTTCATTCATTCACCTCCTCCTTCGTTCCTTCCTCCCTTTGTCTGTCCACCTGTCTCTCCCGACCTGGTCCTCTTTCCCCTCCCTCAGGGCTCCTTCAAGGATGAGGGTGGCAGCTCCAGCAGCATGGTCTCTCCAGGGGCCTCCCCTCCCCCCATGTTCTGGAGAGCATGCAGAGGTGCTGAGCCCACCAGAACCTAGAGTTGTAAAGAGGCAAACAGGGCTTGGGGTTCAGGCCCCAGAGACCCCTGATGGGGATGTGGCCCCCGGCAGTGGGAGCCACTGCCACCTTTCTCTGTGGGGGGTCTGGGCCCATTGTGTCTCCTGGAGACTTTGTGGGGGGATCTGTATGGCATGTCTTGCTGTGCATGTGAAGGTCAGTGTTGGGGGGATCTCTACTCGGAGCCCATGATGCCCTCTGCAAGTTTCCTTGGTGAGGAGAGAGGATGTGGTTTCTCCCCCTGTGTTTTGTGTTTGTTGAAAAGCACTCTCCACTTCCTGTTCTTGTTTTAAGAAGCCCGGAGTGGGAGGGAGCCTGGAGCTGGCCCCAGCTGTTGTGGAACATGGAACAGGAGACCCTGGCTGGCTGGGGACCTCCTGGCTAAGATCCCTCCACTTGAGGGCTCCTGGCCATGCTGATGCAGTCTCTGAAGGGAGCTGGCGGTCTGAAGCCCACTCTCCTTCCTCCCCACAGTCCCCCCGCTTTCCCATCACTGTCCCTTCTCTCCAGCAGGGCCTCCCAGACCCAATCTTCTTTCTGACCAGCACCAGGTTTACTCCTTTGGGGTTGGGCCTTCTGCTGTAGCCAGAGTTCCTGGGGAGGTTTTTGTTTTGTTTTGTTTGTTTTGTTTTAGTTTTTGTTTTTTAAGATTTTGACTCCCCACTGAGCAGGGAACCTGATGTGGGATTTGATCCTGGGACCCCAGGATCATAACCTGAGCCTAAGGCAGACCCTTAACTGACTGAGTCACCTAGGCATCTCTGGGGGAGGGTTCTTAGGTTGGCATGAGTGAGGACCCAGCACCATGAGGAATGAATAGACCCACGGTGACAGCGAGGTCCCTTGCTCTCTAGTCTATCATCTTCCAGCACTATGTCCCAGTGTGTTAAGCTTGCGTGCAAACTGGGTGTTCTGAGGCTCTGAGTAAGTGCTCGTCTTTTAGGGAGACTGCATGAGCTTCAGGGTAGTGGTGGCTTTTAGGTTTGTGACATGTATCTGCTGTGGCCACTTGGAAATACCTGCCCTCCCACAGGATCCTCAGTGGAACGATTCACTGCTTTTCCCAGAATCCAGTAGGGTTCATTGCTGAATTTGATTTATAAGGAAACTAGGTCTGTACAGAAGAGAGCTGCCTGGTGTCACAGAGTGAGCAGGCCCAGCTGGGACTGTCCTCTCTGCCTCTGCAGGGGTGGAAACTGTCCTGAGCTGCTGGAGGAGTGGGGTCCTCCCAGAGCCCTCCATCACCTATCCTGGATCCAAATGCCTGCCCAGCCTCTAGGAGGCCTGTAAAAGAGCTTGGCTCGTAAAGGGAGTAGTTGTATAAGATGATGGATGGGGGGGCACCTGGGTGGCTCAGTCCATTAAACATCTGCTTTCGGGTCAGGTCATGACCTCAGGCACCTGGGATCCAACCCCGCATCAGGCTCTCTAGGAGCCTGCTTCTGCCTCTCCCTCTGCTACTCTCCTACTTGTGCTCTCTCTTTCTCTCAAATAAATAAATATTTGGGGGATGCCTGAATGGCTCAGTCGCTTAAGTGTTTGCCTTTGGCTCGGGGCGTGATCCTGGGGTCCTGGGATGGAGCCATGCATCAGGTTCCCTGCTCAGTGGTGAACCTGCTTCTCCCTTTGCCCCTCCCCCTGTTTGTGTTTGCTCTCTATTTTTCTCTGACAAAGAAATGGGTGAAATCTTTCAAAAAAATGTTTTTAATTAAAAAAAAGGAAGAAGAAGAAGAGGATGGTGGGGTCCAGAGTGCTCCAGAACATTGGAGTCTGGGCTGCAAAGGTGGGGATGGGGATGGGCCCTGAGAGCTGGGTCTTATCAGCTGCTCCAGCCCCATCCAGTGGTCTGGGGAATCATGCTCTTAGCACAGAGGAGAGCAGGGACTCTAGCAAGTGGTTGCAACCTTTGAGCCTCAGTTTCCCCACCTGTGAAATGGGACTCATGCCAGCACTTCCCTCATGGGCGGGGCCGGGGGGGGGGGAGGCGCATGAAGCTTTCCTTGCCAGTAGGAGGCGCTCCCTCGATGTCAGCCATCTGACCGTTAACTGTTAACATTGGCTTGGACTGGATGTGGGTCAGCATCTCAGGAACCCCAGTTAGGGCCCGGAGTCAGAGCAGGGAGCCTACTGTGGGGAAGAGTCATGGGGTTAGGGTGTGACCCCACCCCTTCCTTCCGCCCCAGCTCCTATGACCCTTGTGCTTCTGGACTCCTGGCCAGCTCCCCAGGAAATTACTGCATTTCCTCCCCTCTGGGGCCATGCCTGTGGAAACAGCCCATGTACCTGGACACTGGGCACGCACATGTGGCAGTGTGCCTACCTGGCTGAGTGTGTGACAGCAGTGGTGGTGACAGCAGCCGCTTGGCTCCTTGGGGACAGACGTGACAGAAATCTCTGACTGTTCTGCACGCAGCTCTCTGCTGACTAGGACTGCTACCACTGACAGCCGAAAAGGTTCAGAGCGCCTGGATGGCTCGGTAGAGCATATGACTCTTGATCTTGGGGTCATGAGTTTGAGCCCCATGTCGGGTATACAGTTCACTTAAAAAACAAAGCAAAACAAAAAAACAGGCTCAGGGAAGTTGAATCCTGTGCCCTGTCTCATGCAGTTGGAATGCAAGGGTGGTTTAACATAATTTAGGAGACAGAAAAATTATTTGATTGTCTTGGTAATGCAGAAATGCATTTGATGTAAAATTTGCATTTGTATGCATTTGACGTAAAACCTGATAGGAAAGTGGACAAAAAATTTTAACAGAAACTTCATAATAGAGGATATTTGAATGGCCAAGAATCACAAGCCCTCAACATTAGGCATGGATTTGCTGATCCTCTGTCTCAGCCACCACAAAGGCAAGGACTTTGACCATCCAGTTACCACTGTGCCCCCAGGACAATGGCTGCATTGCAGACAGTAGGTGCTGTGTTCCTATTTGATGAAGGATCCTACAGGTAGAGAAGCTTGTATGCCCCTCATGCATCCACAAGGCCCACTGACTTGTACTCTGTTATACATACTCATAGGCATGATGGCCCTGGCTCAGGACCACTTGGGCTGGAGTTCCCACTCACCAGCTGCACGATACAGGGCACGTGATTTAACCTCCCTGAGCTGGGGTCTTTTTTTTTTTTTTTTT